GTGTGTGTGTGTGTGTGTGTGTGTACCAGGTCTGCTGGGCAGCGGCGGGAAGGCTCCAGGATGATGGATGGGGATGAACTGGGAGGAGCAGGTAGTTTGAGTTTGAGTGGCAGGAGTCTTCTTCGCTTCAGACACCGGAGTCTTCCTCAGCTCCGTCTGCGCCTTCACCTGAACGAGAGGAAACAGGTGTGACGTCATCGTCAGTGGCTGCTTCATTAAATATTTAAAGGAGCAGCTCTGTCTGAGAATTGTTTGCATCTCTACCTGTTTTCCAGCATCAGCAGTTTTCTCATGTCCGGCTTTTTTCAGCTCGCTCTTCCTCTTGGCGTCCCTCTTCAGCTCTCCTTTCCCAGCAGCCCCGTTGCCTTTGGTGAAGTCTCGGCGCTCCTTGCCGCTGTCTTTCAGATGATGGTTTCGCGTGGGCTCTCGGCTCTGCTCTCGGGGTTTGATGTTCTCCTTGAAGGTGACGACAGGTCGGTCGCTGCTGTCGGGCCACGAGCTCTGAGTCTTCCCCGCCGACAGCACCGACTTCAGGCCGGAGTTTCCGCCGTCATTGGCCGTCTGCTCAGCGTTGGACGACTCCTGCAGCACCGGCGCCTCCTTCTCCTGCGGCTCCTCGATGGCCTGCTCTGGAATGTCAGTGATGAAGAGGAGGAGGCCGTCCTCACTCACTCGGCACTGGATCAGCCTGCAGAGAGGACACACAGATCAGTGTACTGATGTCCTGTCAGCGTGCTCTGACCTCTGACCTCTGACCTGACTCACGCTCTGTGAAGCTTGTCCAACTTTTTCAGTTACTACAAGTCTTTCAACTCAACTGACATTAACTCTAGCTGAATGCTCAAAGTGTTCCTAAAACAAGTGGCTAATGAAGTCGCAGTAACATTGACGTTACACAGTAGTAGCCTAACTGCTAATCATTAGTTAGCTTGCAAGTGCTTCAGTAACTGTAACTTACGTTGTGTTTCTACTATTTTAAATGAAGTGTTTCATCACATCACATCATTACCTCGGTCTCCTTCACGTTTCTCCTCCTCTTCGCGCGGTTAGGGACCGTGGCGAAATTGGTGCTGCCTACCAGAGAGGCAGAAGGATGCCAGGCAGGCAGCAGAAGAAATTTAAATTAGAAATATTTTTTCATTATTATTTAAAGATGTATGGCTATATCTACTGTTGTTGATCTGTAGTGTATTATTGTCTAATTTTTCGAATAAAATGGGGAAAAAAAAACAAAAAACAACAAAAACACCTCACTCCCTGGCGCCCTCTGGCATGCTGGCGCCTATAGCATTTGCCTAACCTGCCCTATGGGCGGCACGGCCCTGCCGTCACTTATCCCTGCATCACGTGACTCCAATCAGCAGTTTGTGAAATACTCAGACCGGCCCGTCTGGCACCAACAACCATGCCACGTTCAAAGTCACTTCTTATGAGACAGATTTAATTTACTGTCTATCATTTTTCTTTTTTCGGGAATGGTGCCCAAAATTTAATATTTAACTAAAAGTAATTATTAAACATTTTAATAATTATTATTTCTGAAAGCCTTTTGAAAACTTTCAATCAATCAATCAATTTTATTTATAAAGCCCAATATCACAAATCACAATTTGCCTCACAGGGCTTTACAGCATACGACATCCCTCTGTCCTTATGACCCTCACAGCTGATCAGGAAAAACTCCCCAAAAAACCCTTTAACAGGGGAAAAAACAGTAGAAACCTCAGGAAGAGCAACTGAGGAGGGATCCCTCTTCCAGGACGGACAGACGTGCAATAGATGTCGTACAGAACAGATCAGAGAACCCAGAGTTTCCAACAACTCCTTTAACTTTACTTTAACATGTGAAAAGCTGAAATAAGATTAAAAGTCAAACTGCTGTGAGCTGAGTGTCGTAGTTTTAAGTCCATCTGTTCTTACTGCCTGTTGTAAATGTCAGATAACACACCCTGCCTCTCACCACTCCTTGTGGGATGCAGTAAAGCCTGAAAAGCCTTCCCTCTCCTCCCTCCTCCTGAAACCAGCTCCACCCTGTCAACAGATTTGTTTTCTGATCAGGGAGAATCAAACTATTTGACAGTCACCGTCTCAGAGAGGTGAAATGGCGCAGCAAGGAGCTCAGCTGGACCCCCTAAAGTTCTCTTGTTCCATCTGTCTGGATCTACTGAAGGATCCGGGGACTCTTCCCTGTGGACACAGCTACTGCATCAACTGTATTCAAAGCTTCTGGGATGGAGAGGATGAGAAGAGAATCTACAGCTGCCCTCAGTGTAGGCAGAGCTTCACACCGAGGCCTGTCCTGAGGAAAAACACCATGTTAGCAGATTTAGTGGAGAAACTGAAGAAGACTGGACTCCAAGCTGCTCCTGCTGATCACTGCTATGCTGGAGCTGAAGATGTGGCCTGTGATGTCTGCACTGGGAGGAAACTGAAAGCCTTCAAGTCCTGTCTGCAGTGTGTGGCCTCTTACTGTGAGAAACACCTCCAGCCTCATCGTGACTCGGCTCCATTACAGAAACACAAGCTGGTGGAGCCCTCCAAGAAGCTGCAGGAGAACATCTGCTCTCGTCATGATGAGGTGATGAAGATGTTCTGCCGCACTGATCAGCAGTGTATCTGTTATCTCTGCTCTGTGGATGAACATAAAGGCCACGACACAGTGTCAGCTGCAGCAGAAAGGACTGAGAGGCAGAGAGAGCTGGAGGGGAGTCGACAAAACATCCAGCAGAGAATCCAGGACACAGAGAAAGATGTGAAGCTGCTCCAACAGGAGGTGGAGGCTATCAGTCGCTCTGCTGATAAAGCAGTGGAGCACAGTGAGAAGATCTTCACTGAGCTGATCCGTCTCATGGAGAAAAGACGCTCTGATGTGAAGCAGCAGCTCAGATGGCAGCAGGAAACTGAAGTGAGTCGAGTCAAAGAGCTTCAGGAGAAGCTGGAGCAGGAGATCACTGAGCTGAAGAGGAAAGACGCTGAGCTGAAGCAGCTCTCACACACAGAGGATCACAAGCAGTTTCTACACAACTACCCCTCACTGTCAGCACTCAGTGAACCCACACACTCATCCAGCATCAACATCCGTCCTCACCGCTACTTTGAGGATGTGACAGCGGCTGTGTCAGGAGTCAGAGATAAAGTACAGGACGCTCTGAGGGACACATGGACAAACGCCTCACTGACAGGGACTGAAGTGGATGTTTTACTGCCACAACCAGAGCCCAAGACCAGAGCTGAGTTCTTCAGATATTCACGTCACATCACACTGGATCCAAACACAGTCAGCACATGGCTGTTATTATCTGAGGGGAACAGGAAAGTGACAGGAATGAGACAACAACAGTTTTATTCTCATCACCCAGACAGATTCACTGGATGGCGTCAGGTCCTGAGTAGAGAGAGTCTGACTGGACGTTGTTACTGGGAGGTGGAGTGGAGAGGAGGAGTTTATGTAGCAGTCGCATACAAGAATATCAGACGAGCACGTTGGTGGTGGGATGAATGTAAATTTGGACACAATGACAAATCTTGGATGTTAACATGTGACAATAACAGTTATAACTTTTATCACAACAAAGTCCAAACTCGTGTCTCAGGTCCTCGGTCCTCCAGAGTAGGAGTGTACCTGGATCACAGTGCAGGTATTCTGTCCTTCTACAGCGTCTCTGAAACCATGACTCTCCTCCACAGAGTCCAGACCACATTCACTCAGCCTCTCTATGCTGGACTTTGTCTTTGTTGTTCTGATTCCACAGCTGAGTTGTGTCAAGTCAAATAGTCAGAAGTCATTTAAGGGTTAAACTCTGTGTTTGGTCTCCATGTTTGTTGCTGACAGCTGATTGTTGTGGCGTTTCTTCACTGCACACAGATCAGCTGTCAGTCAAACATTGTGGGCGGGACTTTGACATCTTCTCCTGAGTTGTTGTGTAAATGTTTGAGTGTGTGTAGGTGGCGCTCCTTCCTGTGTGTGTTCAGCCATGGAGGCTCTCACTGCTCATGATGATGTTTGTTGAGCTGAAGTGACATTTCTCTGCATGAAAATAATGTGGACTTCTCTGGGCTCTAAATGTCTGATCAATCTTTGTATTGATGTGTTTGTATGTTGTTGTGTGTGAAGAGAGAAAGCAGCAGAGCTCCTTTATCCTCCACACTTTGTTCTCTGTGCAAAGAAATGTGTGCTCACATTGATTTGTTTGTGTTTCTACTTTTACTTCAATAAAGTTTTACTTGTGATCAACTGTTACAACGAGTTCTTGTCTCTGTGGTAAAACCTGCTCATGTAAATATTCTCATAAATAACTTCAGTTGTGACTCAGCGTGCAGAGCCAGAAGAAAACTACAAACATAAGACCCATAAAACATTTGAAATAAACAAATAAATAAACTCCTCATTTCAACCTGAGCTGAGCTTTTTCCATTAATACTCCACAATAAATAAATAAATAAATAAATAAATAAATAAATAAATAAATATACATATAACAGGAGCTGCTGGTGACTTAATTAAATCTTTAATCAATTTCTGATTTTAATTTATTTTATTGTCTGTGTCTCTGTGTGTTTCCTGTCTGATCTTTATCGGCAGTTTCAGGTTTGACTGTTGAAATGTGGTTTTAACTGATGAAACTGCTGCACTGAGTGCACACACACACACACACACACAGACACATAACCTGACAGGACAAATCAGTGATGTCACCAGGAGATAAGTGAGGCACTAATAAACCAAGCTGCCATGACAGTGTGTTTTAATGAGCTGCTGTACAAGCGACTGGTACTCTGTCAAATTCACAGCAGAGCAGGACGCCACAGGAAACTGCTGCTTTCCTTTGACCTCCTGCTCATGAACAAAACAAAAACCCAAACAGCATCCAAAGCTGAATGAATGTTTATTAGGAACAAACAGGAAACATTTCAACATGGAAACCAGGACAGCTGTTGCACAAAAAGCTCAGGATAGAAATCACATGAATTTATAGTTACACCTTCAATTTTATTTACAGGTTTGTGAAGGCCAGTTTCTACAGTGGCTCCTGAGGGACAAAACACACGCAAGCGAGGAGGATACACAGCAGTGTGCTCTGAATTATAGAAGGCAACAAATACTAACAGGTGAACATGAAGAGGAATGAGCTGAACCAAAGTCTGGAAACTTCAGTTTTTAGCTTTTTTTTTTTTTTTTTTTTTACTAAAATTAAATATTTGTATTTTTTTAATATATTTGGTGTATCCTATCATTTTATGAATTTTGCATGTCTTCTAATTTTTGTAGCATTTTTTAAACGCTTCATTTTTTAAATTTACATTAATGTTTGTGATTTAATTTTTCCATTATTTCTGAATTTTGGTTTTCAATTTTCTCTTCTCAGTTTTCAGACACTGACAGGAATCTGTTCTGAATTAAACAACATGAGAAATAAAATTAACATGTTCATGTCATTACGTTTGTTTATACTAAAGTGTCACTTTTCTCTTTCTCTGTTTGTTTTGAAGCTCATTTTTCAAACTCACAGAATCAAACAATACAATAAAAAAATGCCACTAACACTAAATGTTCATGTTGTTACTTGCGTTGTTATGTCAGTATGCAGGTCTTCAGGTCGCGGTCTAAAAATGGGCCGTGGGTTCATTCTGAATGGACCGCAAGTGACTCACTTTATTTTGAAGTGCAGTGAATTTCCACCACAAAGCTTTTACTTTGAAGTGCTGTTTCCTGCTGTGGAGTGAGTGACTGACGGACAGCTCCTGGACAGAGACAGAGAACCAGCTGGAGGACATGTCCAAACACACGTATGACACTGAATATATTAAACTGTGTGAACGCTGAACTGATAACTGAGGAGAGATCTGGACCAGCTGGGAAACGCTGCTTTATGTTTTCAGCTTCTCTGAATTAGGAGCTCATTTCTCAGATGTTAACAGTCTCTCTTTTCAATCAATACTTTCATATGTGTTTGAGTATTTTGTTGTTTATGTTTACGTTCATACTTTTTTATGTTTTGTGTTTGTCATATTTCTGAATTGGCAGAGTGTTCCTCAAACACTAAAAAAATGCACTCTGAATCTAAAAAATGTGACAAATAAAAATGTTTAAAATTAAATGTTTGCACTTTCACTTTTGTCAGTTCTCTGGTATTTGGTGTATTTGATTGTGTTAATATTTTTGTATGTGTTTTAGTATTTGTAGTTTTTTTTACTTTACAGAAATTATTTAAAATGTTTGTGTGTTGATTTTTGCCTCCGCCAACAAGGTCGTGTTTTCGGTCAGTTTGTCCAT